GAGATCAGGATGGTGGTGAAAAGCTTTTTCCTCCATATTCCATAAAACTATTCTCTCCTTGAGACAAAAGTCAAAGTAAAGTTTTTCGTGTTTTTTTTGTGTTTTTTTTTCAAATCTAATCCAGATTATTCAGTTTCATTTTCTGTTAGATTTACTTTTATATTGGATGATTATTTATACAAATTTTTTCACCCCAGAAATCCATCAGGTTCGCTCTACTGAAAGCACAGAAACAAATACGACCAATATGATTCATCCCGACTATTGTTCAGCTGATCATGCTGATTCTGATAGAAAACGCAGAATTAGCATTAAGTCTTTTCTACCGCAGCTAAATCATCAACCACCCAGAATGTCTGAGGCTCCAAACTTGTTTCTGTGCGTTTTGATGTTGCATCACATCCCAAAGCTGCTAATAATCCTAATGAAACGTGTGGCTGTGCTTCTCTGCAGGTCTGCTGGGCCCCACGCTGAGGGCCGAGGTGGGCGAGACCATCGTGGTCACTTTCAGAAACATGGCAAACGGAGCGTACAGCATCCACCCACACGGGGTGACTTACGGGAAGCGGTCAGAGGGTGAGCACATTTTCAAACAGGCAACACACTGTACTATAGGGTCACTGTTAGTGATCCTGCTGCTAGTGGCTCTGTTACACACACAGCATTGAGCAACACAACAAACAACAGTGTTTATTTTCTCCTAAAATATTAACCAGGTTATCAAAGCAGACGGTTCTGAAGTCCAACAGGAAGAAGCCTTTTAGAATCGCTCTGCGTGTCCTGATACAAGGAAAGCAGCTCAGAAGAACTACATATTATGAAGATTAACATCTAAGACCCCCCCCCCAAATCTGGAATTAGTCTCACATTTATTAATTTAATATCACATAGGTTAATAAAGAAACATGTTTACAGGAAGCAGTTTATTTCCTCTTCATTAATTTAAAGGAATTCAGATAATCAGATTAACAGTCGGTCAATAATCTACTTAAGCCTCTGCAAACCCTGCAGGATGTTATTCATCCAACCATCTGTGCTGCTGGGAAAACTGCAAATGCTGTCATCATGTGCATGAAGCTACTTCCTTTGACTATTTTCTTTTTCAGATACCAAGATAATGATTGTAATGAATAAGAAAGTGGTTCAAAAGTTTCAATTTATTGTAGATTTTGTTCTTATCTGCAGCAGTTAAAACATTTATAAATATAATATAATGTACATGGAGGGGCACTCCCTGTTGGGATCTAAAAAAAATTAATAATATTTTTAAAACCGCTACCAAAAATAATGTGACACGTATCCTCATCATGACTTTATTTTACAAAAGTACCAGGGAGGATAAATTTGTTTGGGTTGTTGGAGAAAATTGGTTTAATTTTATATAAAGGACCTTTGATTTCTTATTTTTATACGTACATGTATAAATACTCAGCAGCCGTTCAAAATGGCCGTTCCCAGTCCAACACCAGCAGAATGGCAGCCCACTTCCCTGCAGCTCCCAGCAAAATACCCTCCAACTCCCAGCCACTGCAGTGACCCCC